AAATTGCTCTGTTAGATTTTTCTCATGTCTCCGAAATTCTTTGGTCATATTTACTATTACTTTGTCTCTCAGTGCTATGTCTTGAATAATTTATTTAGTTCTTACTTCTGGTTCTTTAATTATCTCCTGAGCTGTGTATAATTAATCCTACACTAAGCTCCTGTTTTTAGTTATTATAGCTATTATATTTTTTTATTTCTAGTAGTTCCATTGGGTTTTCTTTTCCATGTACTTGGTCAATTTTAATAGTATCTTTTCTGTTATCTGTCCATATTTCCCATTTTTTAAATATATGCATATCTAATTTACCCCACATCTGCTAAATATTTGTGCTCCTGAGGTTTTGTTTTGTAATTTGCTTAAATTCTGATTATTTCTCATATTAGCTTGTCTAATTGTGATAGTCAGCCTTGACTAAGCCCTCAATATTACAGGAATTCTCTTCTATTTGCTTTATTAACTTTCCTATTTTTTTGTAATGGATTTTTGTCAGACATTCTTAAAAATGTCTCCAGTTTTTTAAAGTTCTCCAGTCTCCTCTGTCATAAAAAACAACAACTAAAAAAAAAACAAAAGCAAAGCAAACAATAAAAAAATGGGTTTTTCCTTTGGTTCCATATATTTTACATTCATCTGACAAATGTTTATTGTACATCTACTGTGGACTGAACTCTGTGGCAGGTGCTGAAGATTCAGGGCAGCACAAAATAAACATATTCCTTCTCTTTGGCCCTGGCCAGGTAGCTCAGTTGGTTAGATCATTGTCCCAAAAGCCAAGGTTGTGGGTTTGAAATCCGATCAGGGCACATACAGAAAACAACTAGTGAATGCCTAAATAAGTGGAACAATAAATTTTTCAAATTAATACATAAAAATTTGAAAAACATATATTCCTTCTATTCTAGTATACTTGAAATCTGGAGGGATGCAAAAGTAGATTTAAAAAAAAAACAGTATATAGTTATGCCTTGCATAATGATGTTCCAGTCAGTGATGGACCTCATATATCTGATACATGGTGGTCCCTTCCTCCTATATAAGAAAGAGGGAATATGCAAATTGAATGTCATGCCATCACAAAGATGATGGCGCCCATAGCGGAGGTGGGGTTTCCATAACACAAGATGGCAGCGCCCACAGCAGAGGCTGAGTTCCCATAATGAAACCTAAGTAGCAATCAGCAGAGATGTGAGGCTGTGCCTCCGCCTGATGGGGCTTGACAGGAGATCTCAGACTGTGTCCCCCGCCCCAATGCCAGGGCAGGGGACCTTAGGCCGTGCCCTTCTCCTGGAGGGACTTGGCAGGGGACCTGAGGCTGTGCCCCCCTCCTGGCGCCGGGCCGGGAGACCTGAGGCTGTGCTGTCCCCAACCTGTGGTGCTTGACAGGGGATCTCAGATTGTGCTCCCCTGCCCGGCAGGACTTGATGGGGGATCTCAGGCTGTGCCCTCTGCCTGGCGGAGGTTGACAGGGGATCTTAGGCCACATCCCCCACCTGGTGAGGCTTGATGAGGACTTCAGGGCACATCCCCTGCCCCGGCCCAGGCTGGGGGACCTCTGACTGCACCCTCCACCCTGGCTCCGGGCCAGGGGACCTCAGGCTGTGCCCCCCCACCCTGGCATCGGGCTGGGGGACCTCAGGCTGCACCCCAGCCCAGTGGAGTTTGATGAGGGACCTCAAGGCATGCCACTTGCCCTGGTGCTGGGCCGGGGGACCTCAGGCCATGCTGCCCACCCTGGGTGCCAGGCCAATGAACCTCAGGCCGTGCCCCTTGCCCCAGCGCTGGGCCAGAGGACTTGAGGAGACCTGAGACTATGCCCCCCACCCTGCAGGCTGTGCCCCCTGCCTGACGGGGCTTGAGTAGGGTGGGGCCAGCCGGGTCTGGATCTTGCCTAATGGGGGTGGGTCTGGCTGGGTCTGGGTCCTTGTGATTTTGAGGTGCCGCGAGTGGGTGGGGACTTGACTCTGAGTCCCATGGCGTGCCCCAGACTCTGACTGGAGGAAGATTTTCATATCTCTTTTACTAATTTTCTTTCATCTCTGACACTTCTATTATAGAGAAAGGGCAAATAGCAATATTAAAATATTTCCCCTAATTAATCCCCTTTTAATGTGCACAAATTTCGTGCACCAGGCCACTAGTAAGATTATAATGGAGGTGAAAAATCCCTATTGTAAATTGTATCAAAGTATAACATACCATTATGTATAGTACAGAATACTTGACAATGATAATAAATGTCTATGTTACTGGTTTCTTTATTTCCTGTATTATATTTTTAATTGTTATTTTAGAGAATACTCTTTCTACTTATAAAAATTTTTTGCTGTAAATTGATGTCATGTTAGGCTACCAGAAGCTTTCTATATTTTGTGTTTACTACATCTCTCGATTGCACGATTTTTTCATACTTTATTTGACCTCGTGTAGTTTTTTAGAGTAATGTGCTGTACAGGTTTGTAGCCAAGGATCAATAGGCTATACTATTTAGCCTAGGTATATAGTAGGCTATATCATCTAGGTTTGTGTAAATGTACTCTGATGTTTGCACAACTACAAAATGACCTAACCATACACGTCTAAGAATGTGTTCCATGCATGACTGCAGATATAATTAAAATTGTGACAAAGGAAAATCAGTCAGATAGTGGAAAGTTAACAGGAAAACTAAATTCATTTAGTACTAGCAGTTTTCCAATGATATTTAGAGTAAATATTGAGAGGAGTCTAGATCTTAAGATAATAAGGAAGTAACTACTTCTAAGTAGGAGGTTAGGAACTATATGTTTGGCAAGCCACAGGATGAGGTGTGAGAGTTACTAGAAACTATTGTATCACGTTTTAAAGTTAAATGTCTCTAAAGTGGAAATTTTGGGCATATTTTTAGTGCCATGTTCAATTTCCAGGCATTTTATTTTTAATTAACTTTAACGTCTAACATTGAGAGATATTCATTGATAATGGGGCTTGGCTTTTATTCTTTTTATTATTGTTGAAACTACATGCTGCAACTTAGCTCCATTAAGCTGAATATATATATATATATATATATATATATATATATATATATATATATATATACATACACTAAAGGCCCAATGCTTGAGCAAGGGGCTCAGCCCTCACAGCCCTAGCTGTCTTGGCTGGCCTTGCAGCCCTGGCTTTGTCCGGAAGGTTGTCCAGAAGGTCATCTGGCTGCTTGTTCTGCTGTTTGGTCTAATTGGCATATTAGCTCTTTATTATATGGGATATACTAGAGGCCCATTGCATGGGATTCGTGCACTGGTGATGGGTGTGGCTTGTGGGGATCTGTCTGCTGTGGTAGCACTGCTCATCCCTGTCATCTAAGTGATGCTCCCATTGTGGGAGCACACTGACCACCGGGGGCAGCTCCTGTGTTGAGCTTCTACCCCTTGGTGCACATCATAGCGACTGGTTGACCAGTTGTTCTGGTCATTCCACTATTTTGTCGCTGGGCTTTTGTTATTGGGTGATTGTGATTTTTTCAAAATGGCCTTAAAAAATAGGTGCAGAAAGGATGAGGAATAAAAACATGATAAAACTACTTGAGCAGCCGAAACCGGTTTGGCTCAGTGGTAGAGTGTCGGCCTGCAGACTGAAAGGTCCTGGGTTCGATTCTGGTCAGGGGCATGTACGTTGGTTGCGGGAACAACCCCAGTAGGGGGTGTGCAAGAGGCAGCTGGTCGATGTTTCTCTCTCATCGACGTTTCTAGCTCTCTGTCTCTCTCTCTTCCTCTCTGTAAAAATCAATAAAATATATTTAAAACTTTTTTTAAAAAAACACACAAAAAACTACTTGAGCATCTTCTTGAAAGGTATCAGAAATTGAACTCCTTGAATTGAGAGTTGTAGGCAGATTTATCTACCCACCATCCACCCACCCAAACCAACCAGCTTTTATTGTGCTGCATTTTGAGGTTGTAAAGATTATTAAGATCCTCTCTCGGAGTAATCAAAGGATGTTAGTTCATTTTTAACACTAGTGTTTTATAAAATACTATTGGCCTGGTGCATGAAATTTGTGCAAGGGGAGGGGAGTAGGATAAGTTTCCCTCAGCCCAGCCTGCACTGTCTCTAATCATACATCCCTCTCATAGTCTGGTTCGCTGGATCCCAACCATTCATCTGCCTGCCTGCCTGCCTGATCGCCCCTAACCCCTCTGCCTGCCTTCCTGATCGCCCCCAACTGCCCTCCCCTGCTGGCCTGATCTCGCCCCTAACTGCCACTGCCTTGGCCCCCATCACCATGGCTTTGTCCAGAAGGAAGTTGGAGGTCTGGAAGATGGCTGGTTGACTTGGTATAATTAGCATATTGCCCTTTTATTAGTATAGATTGGGAAAACAGTGACCATTGTTTTCACATAGAAATTATATGGTAACCAATTTGAAAAAGTCTTTAAAAATGATATATATGGGTTACAACAATTTAAAAAAATATTATATTTCCACATAAAAGGATAACTATAAGAATTTTATATTTTTACTCTATATCTTGGTTTTGATTTTATAATTTGAGTTAAATATTCATGACAGTGAATACAGTGTGCACATTTTATTTGATTTTAAGTTCAAACACATTTTTATGTATTGATAATTATGATATTTTTGTTGCAGACCTCATTTTAGAGAGCACTAATGTCTATATCCTGAGCCAAATGAGGCAAAAAGAAAAGATATATTTATATTATTCCCTCATAAAAGAGTCAATTATGTTTGGACTATAGGATATTATTATTAACAATGATATCACTGATAATATCTTATGTTAGTGCTAGAGTATACAAAACATTCAAAGTTCATTCTCATTTGATTTTCAGAATTGTCTGATTAGGATGAATAAGATTTATCTTCATTTAAATAGAAAAATAGATTAGAAAAATTGTGACATACTCTGTAGCATATGGATAATAGTGGCATATAATACCGTTATTGACATCTCAGCATATGTTTAGACTATAATTTATATTTTTATTTTGCAGATGAAAATAAAATGTTACCTGCAAGATCAGGATGTACAATAGAAGATCATGTGATTTCGGGAAATGTAGACGAATTTCGTAAAGATTTTATTTCAAGAATATGGCTGACCTATAGGGAAGAATTTCCTCAAATAGAAGGCTCATCTCTGACAACAGACTGTGGTTGGGGCTGTACATTACGAACTAGCCAGATGCTATTGGCTCAAGGACTCATACTGCACTTTCTTGGTAGAGGTAAATCAAATCTCTGTTTTTTTTGTTTTGTTTTGTTTGTTTTTTTAATTTGAATGCCAGCTTTTAAACTGCATACAGTTCCCTGTGGTTAATTTCTTGACTCCCTAATGACTTCTAAAGTTGAAACTAATCTAACATCCTTATTGAAGTGGGTCAGGTATGGCTTTTCATAATTCCCCTTTTAAAAACACATGTGGAACATAACCTATTATTCTTGGCTACTACTTGAATTAAGTAAGTTCAATTTTTAGTAGCCTTTGTTTTGGTGGGGTTATTAATTATTTACTAGAGGCCTGGTGTACAGATTCATTCATCAGAGGGATCCCTTGGCTTGGCCTGCACCCTCTTACAATCCAGGACCCCTCGGGGGATGTCGGAGAGCTGGTTTTAGCCCAATCCCCACAGGTCAAGTTGAGGGACCCCACTGGTGCATGAATCCGTGCACCGGGTCTCTAGTGAGCATATGACTTTTGGTTAATCTCTTCCCGCCCTCCCTTCTCCCCCCTTCACTCTGAAATTCATCATTCTGTTCCACGTTTCCATGCCTGTGGTTTCCGCTCCTGCATTGAATGTCTGCTTCCTGGTGGTCAGTGTGTGCCATAGCTACTGGCTGGTTGGTCAGTCAGCCAGTTGCTTAGGCTTTTATATATATAGATTTAAAAAAATATATTTTATTGATTTTTTACAGAGAGGAAGAGAGAGGGATAGAGAGTTAGAAACATCAATGAGAGAGAAACATTGATCAGCTGCCTCTTGCACACCCCCTATTGGGGATGTGCCCACAACCAAGGTACGTGCCCTTGACCAGAATCGAACCTGGGACCTTTCAGTCTGCAGGCCAGCACTCTATCCACTGAGTCAAACCGGTTTCAGTTATATTTAGATTTTTGTTTGAATTCTGGATTATCTCCAATTCAGTAAATCCTGGGCAGGTCAATAGTAGTGACTTTGAGCAGATAGTTAATATTTTTACATTTAAATTTACATTATTGTAACAAATTTTACACTGCTTTCTTTATTTTCTCTCCATATATCAATAATACTTTAAAATTATTTTTATCTTTATAGATATGACTGTAATCAGTTAAACTGATTAGGCATTTCTTTTTTTAAAATATATTTTTATTGATTTTACACAAAGAGGAATTGAGAGGGATCGAGAGTTAGAAACGTCAATAAGAGAGAAACATCGACCAGCTGCCTCTTGCACATCTCCCACTGGGGATGTGCCCGCAACCAAGGTACATGCCCTTGAGCGGACTCGAACCCGGGACCTTTCAGTCCCCAGTCCCATGCTCTATCCATTGAGCCAAACCGGTTTCAGCTGATTAGGCATTTCTTAATAAGTTCATTATACTTAGTCTTTTAGACTCTCAAAAATGTTATTGATACCTAACTTACATATATCTTTTTTTTTTCTAGCGTGCTACCTTCCTTACCTTTCCTATTAGTACATTTTTTAACAATGTGTACATTTGTAGGAGGATTTTAGTTTACCATTTTATGCTATCCTATATGGTTACTAACTGCTGTCATTTTTTGTTAGTTTTTCTGAATGCATGGCAAATATTTAATTACCTTTTTATAGGGATTATTGATGAGATCATGTAGGGCAGTGGTTCTCAACCTTTCTACCACAACTCCTTAATATAGTTCCTCATGTTGTGGTGACCCCCAACCATAAGATTATTTTTGTTGCTACTTAATAATTGTAATTTTGCTACTATTAATGAATCGTAATGTAAATATTAGGTTTGCCTAAGACCATCAGAAAACACAGATATTTACATTACGATTCATAACAGTAGCAACGAAAATAATTTTATGGTTGTGGGTCACCACAACATGAGGAACTGTATTAAAGGGTCCAGGCATTAAAAAGGTTGAGAACCACTGATGTTGAAAATGTTTATTCAAAAGTGATATGAATAATGCAAGGAAGAAGAATTTTTAAACTCTGGGATGGATTTATTTGTAGTTTTGTGAAATCAGGGGCAAGAATTAGTATATTTTTCATAGTCTTGACTAGATCTCTGAATCTAGGACTAATTTTGTTAACTTGAAATTACATTTATGTTTGGGGACTGTCTTGTTATTAAAAACAGTGACATTGTGGAAAAGTTGACTTTTTCTAAGAACTCTGATTTAAAAAAAAAATATTTTATTGATTTTTTACAGAGAGGAAAAGAGAGGGAGAGAGAGTTAGAGACATTGATGAGAGAAACATCAATCCGCTGCCTCCTGCACACCCCCTACTGGCAATGTGCCCACAACCAAGGTACATGCCCTTGACTGGAATCGAACCCAGGACCCTTGAGTCCATAGGCCGACGCTCTATCCACTGAGCCAAACCAGTTAGGGCAAGAACTCTGATCTTTAATGACTTTATTTATTATACCTTTTCATTTACTAGCAAATTCATATTACTCCTTAAACAATAATTATGTTATTCTGAAAGAATTGTATGAGAAAAAAACATTTAAAAATTTTTAAAAATTGCCATAGTCAGACTTCTATTTTAACACATAACCAAAATGAACTTGTTTTCTGAAGTTATTCTCTCATAAATCCTCTGAATGTTAGTGAATATGCTCACTGTGCCTTAGGGTGGTCAAGGCTGGATAAGCAGTACAGGTAATGGAATACAAAAGACTTCATCCTATCTCAGTGCTGTCAAAGAAAAAAAAAAAAGCATATCCAGAATTGTCTGTGTGTGCCTGAGTTTGCCATTTGCACCCCCCCCACCTCTCTCTCTTTCTCTCTCTATCTCTCTCGCTTTCTTTTTTTTTGGAGGAGGTCTCTCTTTTTTTTTTCTTTTCTTTTTTTTTTTTTTAAATATATTTTATTGATTTTTTACAGAGAGGAGGAGAGAGGGATAGAGAACTAGAAACATCGATGAGAGAGAAACATCAACCAGCTGCCTCTTACACACCCCCTACCGGGGATGTGCCTGCAACCAATGTACATGCCCTTAACCGGAATCGAACCTGGGATCTTTCAGTCCGCAGACTGACGTTCTACCACTGAGCCAAGCCGGTTTCGGCTGGGATCTTTCATTTTATGATTCTCCCTCCCCCCCCCCCCCCCGTTTTTATGTAATACAGTCCAATTTTAGAAATTATAGAAACTATAGAAGAGCCCAGAGAATAATATTGCACTCAAAAATAAGCATTATCGATATATTGACCTATTTTTCCACTCATACCTTTATTTGCTTTTTTTAAAAAGTGTACTTATTTATTTATTTATAGTATGTTTTTATTAATTCCAGAGAGGAAAGGAAAGGGAGAGAGATAGAAACATCAATAATGAGAGAGAATCATGGATCAGATGCCTCCTGCACTTTTCCTTCTAGGGATCAATCTAGCCCGCATTCTGGGGTATGTGCCCTGATCATGTGCCTTGACTGGGAATTGAACCATGATCTTCTGGTTCATAGGTTAGCTAACACTAAAGCACTGAGCCAAATTGGCTGGATTTTATTTGCTTTGTTTTTTGTGTGTTTTTTTAAAAAAAATATTTATTATTGAAAGTATTACATATATCCCTTTTTTTTCCTCCATTGCCCTCTCCTTTTAAAATCAATTTTATTGAGATATAATCTACATATCATAAGCTCACTCATTTAAAGGGAACAATTCAATGATTTTTAGTAGATTTACAGAGTTCTGCAACCATCACCATAATCTAATTTTAGGACAATTTCATCATCCCCTAAAGAAACCTCATATCTATTAGTATCTACTCCCAATCCACTGCTGTTCCATATGCAGTTATTAATCTACTTTCTGTCTCTATATTACCTCTTCTGAGCTTACTATTTTAGTTTAGTAACCCATCTGAGTTTAAATGTTGTATACTTATTTTAGTAGAATTGTTAAAATCTTAACTATTTAAAAGATCTGAACACCTTGCTTTGGAACTACTATAGCTTGGACCTGGCCTGATGCTTTGAACATTGAAAATTCAGACTCTGAATCATGGACTTCCCACACTGTAAAAAAATTTACTGCATCATTTGAAGCATCGCTGTCAGGGGAAAGAGAACCCAAAACCCCAACAATTTCTCTGAAGGACACAATTGGGAGGTACTCTGATGATCATGAAATGCGAAATGAAATTTATCACAGGAAAATCGTCTCTTGGTTTGGTGACTCCCCCTTGGCTCTCTTCGGCTTACACCGACTAATAGAATATGGAAAGAAGTCTGGGAAAAAAGCTGGAGATTGGTATGGACCAGCTGTGGTGGCTCACATTTTAAGGTAAAATGTCTGACAATCTTCGATCTCATGGCAGAGGTTCTCAGGCTCAGAGATACTGATTTTTGCAGTGTATATACGTATTCATAAAGGAGCTTTTATTTGCAACATTTTGCAAATGTAGTTACATTTCATTTACTGACAGTTTTCTTAATTTCCTGACAGGTATAGATTTCTAAGTCTCTTTCTAACCAGGTTTTCAGTAAACTACCTTATTGAATTATTCTAAATGCTAACAACTCAACTTTGGAATATACATAACATTACAGGGTGTTTTTTATTTTATTTTATTTTTTTTATTAGTATAACTTGGGGGCTGCAATGTACTGATAGTGTAATGAAATGTCAAGAGCTAAAATGGATGTTTTCAGCATTTCTTTGCATAAATCAAATTTTTGTATGTATGAGGCTATTAATATTATAATTTTATGGGAGTAAAATAGTTTGTGACAGAATAGTTAGAAAAAAATAGAAAGTTGCCCTAGCCAGTTTGGCTCAGTGGATAGAATGTTGACCTGTGGACTGAAGGGACCCAGCTTCAATTCCGGTCAAGGGCATTGCCCAGGTTGTGGGCTTGATCCCCTAATATGGGGTGTGCAGGAGGCAGCTGATCAGTGATTCTCATCTATGTTTCTCTCCCTCTTCCTTCCTCTCTGAAAAAAAAAAAAAATCGAAGGTAAAATTTCTCTATACCTCATCTTTTTATGTGCCATTTATTTGGGTATTACTTTAAAAAATATATTGTATGTCCCATTATTATTACTACTAGAGGCCTGGTGCATTAAATTCATGCATGGCGGGTGGGAGGGGGCAGGAGGAGTTGTCCCTCAGCCTAGCCTCTCCAATCTGCCCATTTAAATGGGCAGTTGGACATCCCTCTCACAATCCAGGACTGCTGGCTCCCATTTGCTCGCCTGCCTGCCTTCCTGATTGCCCCTAACTGCTTTTGCCTGTCAGCCTGATCACCCCCCTAACCATTCCCCTGCCAGCCTGATTGATGCCTAACTGCTCCCCTGCCAGCCTGATTGCCCTAACTGCCCTCCCCTGCAGGCCTGGAGCTACAGTTTATATGTTAAGCTGCCACAATACAGGCCATTTATATGCAGAAGCAGCTCTGCGGTGCTGGTCTGTAGAATGTGTGGACAGGGCCTCAGGGCAGGGCCTCAGAGTGGGGCAGGGTCCCAGGACATCACTATGTTGGGGGTGTGGCTAACAGCAGTGCCTGCTGGCAGCCATCCCTTCCCTTCTGTGTTTCCAAGTCTCCTTGATTCCAAGTCCCCGCTTCCCTGCAATCCAGCGCAGTAAACAATGATTGCTGCACGCCACCTCTGCAGGAGAATCACCTCACTTTCGGACACAATGGCCGACAGACCAGCTTCTCCCCATAGGCGTCTGGGTTTCCCACGTGACCCCAGAAACTGGATTTCAAAGTGATTGGGAGCTTGTTTCCCTTTGGGTTGAAAAAAAAAAAGTCCACGCCCAGTTGCCCTCCACCAGCCCGATTTGCGTGCCTCGGTACCTAGGCTCCTAAGCTTTTCAGCGCTTGCGCTCCTTTCTCTTTCAGCCAACCTTCCCGTGGTTTTGGGTGATAGATGTCCTTTATATTAGTTTTAAATTTTAAATTGTTGTGCGAGGCTGCAGACCAGTTGTTTACCTACGCCACCATCTTGGTTTCTCTCTTAATTTTCATACTTCTGATTGGCCGGGGGGTGTCGTGAAGACATGGTCAATTTGCATCTTATGGTTTTATTAGTGTAGATAAATGGAATTATTAATATGTCATCCAGGTATATTATGTTGTAGTAAATTTATTCCATTTAAAGTTATATATAAATTGGAAATTATTACCAAATTTTTTGCATACTATATTAAATTACTGTTATAATTTATAGGTAGATACTTACAATTGAAAAAAGTATTTGCATAATGTTATTAAATGGATTGTTAATAATATCAAGTTCAGCTTGGTATGGCATTTATAAAAGCATAAGCATAAATGCTTAGCTTCTGTTCTTCAAGGTGCAGAAGACTTTTTGTAAAAGGTCTGATAGTAAATATTTTAGTCTTTGTAGGGCTTATAAGGTCTCTATTGCTCTTTTTTTTTTTTCTTTCTTGCTTTCTTTTTAAAAACAAGCCTTTACATGGTAAAAATCATTCTTATTAAAAACAACAACAAACCCAGACCATAGTTCATACTTGGCTTATGGTCCTTAGTTATTGATCCTTCTGTACTATTAAACAAATATGTATAATAAGTTAACATGCATGTTAAGTTAAAGATTACAAAGATATAGTTAAGAAAAATATTTATATTTCTACAACTTATGTAATTTCCTTTTAAAAGATATTGTGATTAAAAAATATTTTTATTGATTTCAGAAAGAAATAGAGGAGTGCTAGAAACATCAATGATGAGAGAGAGTCATTGACAGGCTGCCTCCTGCACACCCTCCACTGGGGATCTAGCACACAACCTGGAGCCTGTTTCCCTGACCGGAATTGAACCCAGGATCCTTCAGTCCACAGGCTGATGCTCTATCCACTGAGCCAAACCAGCTAGGGCAAGATAATGTGATTTTTAAAACTATCATGCACCTTTAAAAAAAATGCTTTTATTAATTTTAGAGATGAAGGAATAGGGAAAGAAACATGGGATCCACTGCCTCCTGCTTCATGCCCCCTACTGGGGATTGAGCTGAGCCTGCAACACAGGCATGTGTCTTGATAGGGAATCGAACTGATGATCTTTTGGTGCATGGGATGACCCTCAAACAACTGAGCCCCAACAACCAGTGCTATATTGTGCACCTTTGAGAACATTATACTCACTTAGAAATGTATTTCAATTTTCAGTTAGGTCTATAGAATTCTAAGACTTGAAACTAGGAAATTTATTTGTTCATGCCATACAGGTTTTTGAATGAAGAAAAAAAAAGTCATACTATTGTTTAAAGAAAAGAAAAAGACTTTCATAAGTGTACCAGTGGATAAATAGAAATTCACTGCTAGTCAGTATTGTAAGTTAATATGAAGCAAACCTTGAAGCATATTGTAATACCATTGGTTAGTAAGTGTTTAATGTTCTTTGAGTAATTTAGTGTAATAATCAACTTTGAAAAAATTGATCTGATTTTTGATACCACTTAGAGGGTAGTTTTGAAAGCAAACATTACAAGTTAAGAGAATGTCAGGGAAATAATGGTTTTCTTTCCTCTTAACTCTTTACTTACTATCTGAAAAGAACAGTTAGGATTTTTAAAGGATGTACTTGTTATTTCTTAGAAAAGCAGTTGAAGAAGCAAAACACCCTGATTTACGAGGAATAACTATTTATGTTGCGCAAGATTGTACAGGTAAGGAATGTAAATAAACTTTAATTTTCACCTGTTCAGTTGCTCAGTCTTTTTCATATGTGTTTAGGTTATCCCAGTTATATTCTAAACTAGTGGCTTGGTGCACAAACTTGTGCACATTAAAAGGGAATTGATTAGAGGAAATATTTTAATATTGCTATTTGCCCTTTATAATAGAAGTGTCAGAGATCAAAGAAAATTATTAAAATGTATATGAAAATCTCCCTCTTGTCAGAATCTGGGGTGAGCCATGGGACCCAGAGTCAAGTCCCCTCCCATCCACACGTGCGAGACTCAGACCCAGCTGGCCCCACCACCACTGGGCGAGATCTAGACCCAGCTGACCCCACCCCTATCAAACCCCCCAGGCAGGGGGGTGCAGCCTAAGGTCCCTTGTCAAGCCCTGCTGGGTGGGGGGGTTCAGCCTCAGGTGCCTCGGTGCAGCTTCAGGTACTTCAACCCGGTGCTGGGGCTGGCGGCACAGCCTCAGGTCCCCTGTCAAGCCCCACTGGGCAGGGGGTACAGCCTCAGGTCCCTAGGCCTGGTGCCGGGGTCGGGGGCATGGCCTGAGATCCTTTGCCCTTGCCAGGAGCCATGCAGCCTCAGGTCCCTGCTGTTCGGTTGTTAAGTTATGGCATCCCAGCCAATTTGCATATTCTTCTTTTATTAGTATAGATGATTATGAAGGTAGGGACCATGACTTACACATTTCTGTTCCTATATAACTCCCTACATGTTGTAGGCATTTATTAAATATTTCTTAATATACTATGAATTCTTAGTTGCAATACTAACATAAGCTATTAAAGAAAATTCCACTATTTAAAATGACTACTTTAGAAAAAGCTAGATGGGAAAATTTAACAAAGAAATATATTTGGGCCGAGTGTGTGCCAACTACCTTCTCTTCAATGGATATGTTTCCAGGAGGTAAAATTCTTTGTTTGGATTTGCTTGACAATAGTGCTTTAGTACATCATCTAATGTTGCAGCTATTGTCCAGAATTTTGCCTTGTTTTATTGTTTTGGTTCTTCTGTTTAATGTATGTTTAATGTTTAATTTGTATACATACAAATATGTATGTATGTATGTATGTATGTATGTATGTATGTATTTAATATTGATTTTAGAGGAGGGAGGGAGAGAGAGAAACATCAATGAGAGAGAGAAACATTGACCGGCTGTCTACCGAATGTGCTTTAACCAGGATTGAAACTGAAACCTGGGCATGTACCCTGACCAGGAATTGGACCCACCACCTTTCAGTATTGGGGATGATGCTCCAACCAACTCAGCCACACTGGCTTGGGCACCAATATCTATAATAATGTCAAATTCTGTTGGGAGTAAAATAGAGACTTTAATTTGTTGATAAAATGAAAGTGCCTTTAAATAAACCATCACATACTGTTTAAATATCCTTTTTATAGAAATGCTATTATCAGGATAAAATATGTTAATGTTTGGGGAAAGTTAAATATACTTCAATCATATCTATACTAATAAAAGGTTAATATGCTAATTAGAGTGGATATTTTCCAGACGTCCTTCCGGACAAAGCCGCAGCGGCTGCCTGAGGCTCAGGCAAGCTTCTGATGGTCACTGCCACTGCCAGGGCCGGCTCGAGGCTCAGGCAAGCTATGGTGGCTGCAAGGGCTAAGGGTCAGGCAGCCCTGGCGGCCAGCAGTGGCATCAGCAGAGGCGTGATGGGGGAGATGCCTTCCTCTGATTGGCCAGTCATCTCCAGAAGAGGGAGGCCATTCCCTGAGGGCGCCTGGATTCTGAGAGGGGTCAGGCTGGACTGAAGGCCCCCTCCCTCAATCACCCGTGCATGTATTTTTGTGCACTGGGCCTCTAGTTTAATATAAAGGTATTTGCAAAATGCTCTATTTTGTCAAGGATACCCTAATAACTAAGTAATGTTTATAATGTGGAAAGAATGGTAACTAAGTATACATGCACTTTTTTTTTTGTTAAGGTTAATTTTTTTTTTGTAAAGAAAGTTTGATAGCCATATGAAAATGAAAACTGTAAATTTTCAGATGAGTATGATTTTTGCAGGTACTATATATATTAGCCAAAGGATGTACTTAAATAATTAATCATTAAATAAATTTATGAATTTGCTTTTTGTGCTTTTATTGCTAACAAACAGCCTTGGTCTTTAAATGTTACATATTATTAATTAAACAACACAAAGTTCTTCATTATATAATAGTAAGTGGTTTGTTTAATTTCAAGTAGTTTTAAAAATCTTTAACACTGATGTTTCAGAATCCTAAAGGAAGAGTTTCTATTAGTGTAGTGTATTTTGATAAATTATAGGGTTAGGAATTAGATGAAATCAGATTTTATCAATAATTTTCCCCCTTCTGCCATCATTAGTATTTTAAAAGGCTCTATTTTCCTTTCATTTCATCCTCTTCTTATTTGGTATTCTCTTCATTTGTAATTGCATCTTTCTTGGCTTTAAATAGTTAAGACTCTATACTGTATATACTACAGTACAATGTCCTTTATAAATTGGATGTTTGAAACTACATTTTCAATGAGGTAACTTATGATTTCTTCTGCCCTTCAAATATTTCTATCCAGATGTTTTCAAACACTTCAAATTCAGCATGTTTAAGATTCTATTTACTTTATTAATAGTGTCATGTTCATATGCATACACTTACTTATTCTCAACTCTTCTCAACCAAAGCTTACGAATTGCACTTAAAAAATTTATTTCTGAAATCTCATCTCTCCTCTCATTGATTTAGATCAGACCCTTATCTGTAACTTGGACTTTAACTTCATTTCCTTGTGTCTCTTCTCTTTTTGATCTATCTGATCAACAGAAATTGATCATGTCCCTTAATTTGAAAACCTGTGACTGTCCGTTTACTCTGGCCTCATTATTTTAACATAAGCACAGGATGTCCTTTATAAATTTGTTCTGACCTGCATTTCCAGTATCACCTCCCAACACTGTCTTCCATGTTGATACACCAGAGTTCTGTCAACCTTCAGGCCATTCCTTGCTCTTACCGGTACTATTATTATGTTTTCTCATGCCTTTGCACATATTGCCTCTGCTTAGAATGTCCCTTATTATTAAAAGGCCTCTTGTTTACTTTTAACTTATTCTTTAAGAACATTCTCAAAGTTTATATCTTTGGTAAAGCCTCACCTACTCCCGTCAGGCAGAGTTAGTTGATTTTTCTGTGCTCTGTAACCTTTTTTGAAATATCTCTATTAAATGTTGCACTTGAAATCACTTGTAATGATCACCTTATGATGATCTGTTTCTCCCCATAGATCAATGATTGTTAAGGTAGCAGGAGTAGGAGAAAGGCATCCAAATTATTTGGTTGGGAATCAGCTGGAGTGAGCTTGTTAAGGAATTAGACTATTTCATAGTCCTTACATATGTTAGAACTGGTGGAAGAATACCAGAACGATTGAACCAAACACTCTGAAATCAGGGTCTCATTTGCTATTATATCCCTCTAAGCTTTGAACACCTCAGTAAATAGGGGGCATTCAAAAAATGAAGGGAAAGAAGCATTTGATAAAGGAGGAGTTGTTTTACATGTCAGTGGAAATATTACTTTGTCTTACTGTGGCAATATTTGCTTCTGGAGGAAGTAAACCTCCCTGAAGGGAAACTTCATTTGATTGGCGTGTGTATTAATTCAGAGAAGTAAAAGATAGGAGATGGTCATGTGTACACTGCCTTAGAAAAGTGAGAGAATTTAAAGGTCTATAGTGAGAAGCCACTACTGAGTTGTTTGGAGAAAGTTGTTTCCATTGAAACAAATGGAAAGAACTGTTGTGGCATTTTTGTAGCTTTGGTTTCGACTAGCAACTTTCAACCAGTGTGCTGCAAGAACTTTTTTATTTTTTATTTTATTTTGTTATTTTTTAAAATACGTTTTATTGATTTCAGAGAGGAAGGGAGAGGGAGAGAGAGAGATAGAAATGTCAATGATGAGAGAGTATCATTGATCGGCTGTCTACTGGGAATAGAGCCCGAAACCCAAGCATCTGCCCTTGACCGGAATTGAAACTGGGACCTTCCAATCCACAGACCACCGCTCTATCCAAAGAGCAAACCAGCTAGGGCAAGAATTTTAAAAAAATATATATTTTATTGATTTTGTACAGAGAGGAAGGGAGAGAGAGAGTTAGAAACATCGATGGGAGAGAATCATCAATCAGCTGCCTCTTGCACACCCCCTACTGGGGATATGCCTGCAACCAAGGTACATGCCCTTGACCGGAATCGAACCCGGACCTTTCAGTCCCCAAGCTGACGCTCTATCCATTGAGCCAAACCGGTTTCGGCTAGGGCAGGAATTTTTAAAACATACAATACCTGATTAGTTAGGGGCACTGACTTCTTTTCCCTTAGATTGTTAAATAAAAAATAACAACAAACAACATAATAGCTGTCCACAGTGAATAATTCAAAATTATACCTGTTTTTTTGGTCAGATTGGCTAAAAATGTATATATTTTTGGTGTGCCACAGAATGTGAATAATTAGTTTATATATACCATAAGACAAAAAGGTTGATAATCGCTGATTTAGACTGACTAGTGGAAATGGAGAAGCTGTGTTCAAAGAATCTGATAGCTCATAGTCTACGTTTGGAATTTAAAGGGAAGAACTGGGGCACAAAGGACAGAATTTGTTAAGCAGTTCCCTGGAAGAGAAGAAGTGGTTAAACTGACAGGGAGTGGGGGTGTAAGTAAGTTTGAATAAAACTATTTTATGTTGAACAAAACAAAATAAAATTTTGTCTGTATTTGCTTCTACCGAATTCTCTCATTTTTCTCTTGAATTATTCCACTTCTGCTCTCCCACCCATCATTCCACCAAAACTACCCTTTTCGATAATTGAATCCATTGGTCCCTTCTCAGTCCTCACATTACACAGTCTGTCCGTAGCAGCTGACACTGCTGACCACTTGCTCCTTTTCTTTGTAACGTTTTGTTTGCTTCATTTCCAGAATACTCTTAGGTTCCCTCTATCTCCCTCATCCAACTCCTCTGTCTCCTCTGCTGGATTTTCCTTATCTCCCTGCTCTCTAAAATAGTTGGTGTGCTCTGCTCAGCCTTTAGACTCCATGTCTTTTTCTGTGAACATGGGTTTGGCTTTATAGTACCATCTGTCTGCGGTCAGGACCCGAATTTATAGGTCTACCCTGGGCTTCTCCCCAAATCCAGACTTTGTGTCCATGACTGCCTTTCTCTTTGCTTCCATATCTAATAGGCATCTCAAACTCAGCATGTCTAAAAACCGAGTTCCCATTCCTCCCTCTTATATTTGTCTCCCTCCCCTTGCTTACACCTTCAAATCACCCAGGACTCTTTTTTCATCTCTCACACTTTTCGTTTAATGTATTAGAGAATTATTTATCTTCAGACTGATCACTTTTCACTGCCTTCACATGACCATTCCCCGTCTTCATAATCACTGCCTTTGTTCAAGCCATCATCCTCTCCTGCTGAATTACTGCAAGGACTTTCTAGCTGTTCTCTGGGCTTCAGCCCTTGCCCCTATAGTCTGCCTTCAACTCGTGAGCCAGACTGGTGAAGTGTAAGTCAGAGCAGGACATTCCTTTCCTAAAAAACTCCTCAATGGCTTCCCATCTCACTTCAAGTAAAAACTGAAGTCTTTACACAATCTGTCTTCACTCTCTCCTAGTCGGTAACTTTACTTTTTAAAACATATTTTATTGATTTTTTTACAGAAAGGAAGGGAGAGAGATAGAGAGGTAGAAACATCAATGAGAGAGAAATACCGATCAGCTGCTTCCTGCACACCCCCTACTGGGGATGTGCCCACAACCAAGGTACATACTCTTTACCAGAATCGAACCCGGGACCCTTCAGTTCGCAGGCCGATGCTCTATCCATTGCATCGGCCTGCGAACTGAAGATAGTAACTTTATCTCCTTACTTTATCTCTGCTCCTGTACCCCTTGCTCACTTCCTTTCAGAAGCACTGGCCTCTTATTCCTGGTACATGCTAGCTGTGCTTCTACCCTAAGGCATTTGCACTTGGTGATCTTTCTGCCTGGAATGCTCATCTCCTAGGTATCTGTATTACTTGGTTTCTTACTTTAAGTTTCTCACAAGATCTTGCCTACCATCTGATTTTAAATTGACCCTGCCCCCAGCATTTTCTAACCATCTTTCTCCTCTTGTTTTTCTTTGAAGCACCATCTGACATGTATTTTATTTAGTTATTGCCCATTTCCCTGTATAGAGTGTATGCTCTTTTAGAGAAATTTTTCTCTATTTTGCTCACTCTTGAACCCCCAGTGCGATGTAGTAGTTACTCAATAAGTATCTGTTGAATGCATAAATGAGGTAGGTATTTTTAACTCATTGAGACTTTGATAGTGACATAAGAGATCAGGTGACTGGCCAGTGTGGGGAAATTAGGGTAAAATTGTTTCAGAGAAGATTTAATACATATTCATTGTGTGTTTTTTTCAGTTTACAGTTCAGATGTAATTGATAAACAGTGTGCTTCCATGGCCTCTGGTAATACAGATGACAAAGCTGTTATTATTCTAGTTCCTGTTAGACTTGGTGGAGAAAGAACCAATACTGACTACTTAGAGTTTATAAAGGTAAGAGATGAGAGTTGTTTATTTTTTGAAGGCAATGGTAGCTCATATGAAAAATACAGGTTTGCAATATTTTTCTATGAAATGAATAGTGATGATTTTATAGTTGTAGATCATAAAGTTTGACATTAGAGATTAAAAAAATATTAAAAATTGAGTTTTAAAGCGAGAGAATGGCCAAAACTGGTTTGGCTCAGTGGATAGAGCGTCAGCCTGTGAACTGAAAAGTCCCAGGTTTGATTCCGGTCAAGGGTGTATACTTTGGTTGTGGGCACATCCCTAGTAGGAGGTGTGCAGGAGGCAGCTGATTGATGTTTCTAACTCTATTTCTCTCCCTTCCTCTGTAAAAAAAAAAAAAAAAAAAAAAAAAAAAAAAAAAAAATCAATAAAATATATTTTAAAATTTAAAAAAAATAGAGAGAGAGGATGGGAGGAGGAGAGAGAGAAACATCAATGAGAGAGCAAAATATGAGTAGTCTGCCTCCTGCATGCACCCTAACAGGGATCAAGCCTGCAACCTGGCATATGGTCTGATTGGGAATTGAATAGACAGCCTTTCAGTGTTTTGGTGCATGGATGATGCCCAAAGAACTGAGCCACACTGGCCAGGGCTGACAGAGATTTCAAATTTCATTAAAGATCAGATGTGTTCTATGACAGATGAAAAGCCTTTTAATCTGTATAGCTAATCAAGGAGACACAGATGCAGCAAAAATCATAATACTATATTGCTAAGTGTCCAGTCACTGGTTGACCATTCAACCAAAGTATAATATGCTAAGTGTCCAGTCGACTCGTTGACCATTCAGCCAATCAAAGTATAATATGCTAATGATATGCTAAGGCCACTCAACCACTCACTATGACGGGTGCTGACCACCAGGTGGCAGATGCTCCAACTGTTAGGTTAGCTTGCTGTTGGGGTCTGGCTGGTCAGGACTGAGCAAGATGGGCTGGACATGCCCTGGATACCTCCTGCAGTCTTTTCCCGGCTGGCCAAAATCCCGCATCTCTCCCTGGCCCTGATCATGCACTGGTCGGGTCCCTTTCCTTGGCCTGTGCCCTTTTGCAATCCAGGATCCATTGAGTGATGTCAGAGAGTTGGTTTTGGCCCATTCCCGCAGGCCAGGGACCCCACTGGTGCACAAATTCGTGCACTGGGCCTCTAATTTGTAATATGTCTACATTTCCCATTATCATTATTTGTGATTCTTAAAGGTATGTATCTTTATTTTATTCATAAAACCCACATTAAATTATGTCAAGTAGTTATTGAAACAAACTGACTTTTCTATTATGGCTGCATTATCTATTAATTTATTTCCTGTGGCACCATGAGGTCCATAAGAAGTTAGGATGATTATTTATATAGACAGAAATGATGAAGATAGACTATAGAGAGGTTCCAACTTTGTTTTCTTCATAATAACCAGTTAAAAATCTGTTCTATTTCATAACTTTTCCTAAAGAAGCTAATTATGTTATCTTGTTTTGGGCACTAAGATATTCGGTTGTCATAAAACTTTAACTTTTGAAATACTTAGTTGCTGGTTAATTTTATAATATATTATTTGCATAGTTTTTATAAAATTTCTCAGTTTTTCAAAGATAGAAATCATATTCCTTTTTAAATGGAGTGTTATGAGATATAGTGATCTTGAAATAAAGTCTAGATTTGTGTTTTATGATTCATAATAATTTCCCCCCCACATGAAACATTAATTCCATATTGTGGTCCCTATGTATGTGGAGGGAAATATTTCTTCAGGTTAAATTGTACTAATTCTAAAAACCTAGAGCAATTCTTTTCAGTATGTGGTGTATGGAAATCGTGTAGCTGGCATATTGGCTTTTCTAACAGTTACTAAAATTTTGTAGGTACTCTTGTTACTAATAACACCAATAATATCATATATTAATAACATATTAATCCTTTAGGTAGAAATGGGGTTTTGATTTCTAACATATGGGTTCTTTAATGGAGTTATTGGTAGAATGTATGAAATTATAAACCATTTTATCTAGAGAGTCCTTTGAAGATTTTAAGACTAGGGCATCTTGTCATGTCTCAGTATGTTCTAACAAAATCTGAATTGGATTCCTTTTCCTTTTCCTAATACCATGAAAAAATTAGAAACTGAGCCAATCTTAGAACTGACTCCTGTAGCCACAACCCCATTGCTGGTGGAATGGGCTGCAGATGGCTTCGAGGCATGCTATCTCTGGCCAAAGGCTTTGCTACTTAGAGATATTGACAGTATCTCTCAGATTTTGGGACTACCTAATGCTCCTGAGTGATTCATTGGAGCCTGAATTGTGGTGAAATGAACCCTGGTTGGTACATAGGAGTTGCTCAACAAATATTTGTTAATTCTCCTATTTGTATAACACTTTCAATACAGGTTAATCTCATTTTGCCCTCACAGTCAGGACCTAGATTGTCTTTATAAAACAGAAAAGTCAGAAGTTAAGTTCTATGGTCAACTTCAGATAGCAAATTGGTAAGAGAGACTAGAACTTTTGGTTGGTCTTCATATTTTTTCATTAAAACATGGACTTTTAAAAATGTAACAGTTGCCAAGACCGGTTTGGCTGAGTGGATAGAGCGTCGGCCTGCAGACCGAAGGGTCCCGGGTTAGATTCTGGTCAAGGGCATGTACCTTGGTTGTGGGCAAATCCCCAGTGAGGATGATGCAAGAGGCAGCTGATTGATGATTCTCTCTCATCGATGGTTTCTAACTCTCTATCCCTCTTTCTACCTCTCTGTAAAAAATCAATAAAATATATATATTTTTTAAAATTAACAGTTTTTTGAGCCTTTATTAAATTAGTTTATAATATAGTCCACTAAAATAAGAGAGCATTGACTATTGACACACTTTAATTTTTTAATTATCAGGTAAAAAGAGCTGAAGTGGCCAAATGAAGTAGATCATATGCTAGGTGTTATGCTTGGTCAGAGGGGATGGTTGGGTGAGAAGCCAAAATGAAATCATGTAAAGAGTCATTAACTTACAAGTGAAAAAAAGTATCTAATAGCCCTAAAAGAAAAATGATCTTCCTCTTTTCCTTTCTTTTCCTCCACCTCCACTTCCAACTGTACTCATCTTTCGCCTTCCTCCCTTCCCCCTCTGCTTCCTCTTCCTTCTTCATCAGCAGTTGTATTTTGTCCTGGCAAGCCATTGTATAGTATGCCCTCTAAAATTCACCATTCAGTTGTGTTTTTCAAATGTTTTAATCAGTAATTCCATAGTATTTCAGAGATGGTACCTTCTTTACCATTCTGCATGGAGAAACAGATTCAGTATGGTGCTTTATCAGCTCTTACCACGGGAAGTCAGTCAGTCAGTCAGTCAGTCAGTCATTCAGTCTATCTATCTATCTATCTATCTATCTATCTATCTATCTATCTATCTATCTATCTATCTATCTATCTATCTCTATCTTTCTTTCTTTCTTTCTTTCTTTCTTTCTTTCTTTCTTTCTTTCTTTCTTTCTTTCTTTCTTTCTTTCTTTCTTTCTTTCTTTCTTTCTTTCTTTCTTTCATCTATCCACCCACCTACCTATCCTCTATATTTATTCATTCATTCATTCATTCATTCATTCATTCATATTTTCTCAGGGACCAGGAATGAGGAAAATCTAATACATTCTCTTTATTCAGCAAGACAAATTAGGACTTTCTTTTTTGACTGATTACTTCAGTCTTATTTATTGCTCCATGGATATAGCTCAATAAATTCACAGCACTAGATAACTATGAAGTTTTTTTAGGAACTGAAAAGTGTTTCAAGTTTCCAGAAATACAGCCCCTTATATGTAATGGCATTCGAGCTCCTTAATCTGCTTCTAAGTGTTAATGGCTAAATCTGCTCCAGTATGTTGTAAAGGGAATATAGATGTCAGGAACCAAAGTCTTTCTTCCATTACTTGGACTCATTCTTCTTCTGAGGAGAATTGGTAATGAGTCCTGCTATATATTTCTTTTCTTTCTTTTCCTCAGCTGTGAGGGACTTAGAACGTATGCTCCCTCGTGGGTCCCTATGTCATAGCATTGTGTTTCAGCTCATCAGGTGATCTCAAGTTAAAGTAAGACACTATCAAATTGTGTTAGGATTTTTATATATGGGAAAGCAGTAGACTCATTAATGATAAATAACTATTATTGTCAAGTTTTTTTTTTGTATGATTTCATCTTAACTTATTTTATAGTTAACTCTTAACATTTTAACCCAATATGCATTCTCTAGTATAATATTTAAATTTTTTAGTTATACTTTTCCTTTCCCCCAAATCCTCTATATTTTCACAAGACTGAAAGGGTTATTTATAACAGTGAGAACCTGAAAACAATGTAAATATTCATAAGGGGGTTTTAAAGTACATTTTATTTTCATAAAATAGAATATTTTGTAGTCATCAAAAACAATATAGGTCTATATTTTTTATAGGAAATAATATTTATCACATAATGAGGTAAAAGTTATAACAGTATACATTGTTTGATGCTACATATAAAATTTCATTTGTAAATCTACATCTGACTGTATGTAATATAGATAGATGTCAAGAAGATTTCCCCCCAAATGTTAATTATGATGAGTTTTAAGTGGTGGGGTTTGGGGAAATTTTTACTGTGTGTTTCTATTACAATGACCACATATTTTTAAGAAAATAATTAAGCTTAATAAATGCTATGGTTTGATTACTTGTTAAAGGGAAAAAAGCATTTGTTTATATATTCTTTAGTTTTATATCTTCTAGATTTCAAAACATCTCATTTATGAGAAGGAAAGTTTAACTATGTTTAATGTATATATATTTTTAAATAACATTAGTGTTTTAGATGCTAAAATTAATGCAGGAACTATTGACAAGACATTGTTCCCCCTGGACATATTTTTAACTGACCCCACAGGACTTTTATTTTTTTAAAGGTATAGAATTATTCGATCCAGCTTAAATAGAGTTCTCAGAATAGATGCTGAAGGGCATATTAAATTATTTATTCAGGTATCTCTTATTTTATAATTAGTAAAATAATTTAGCTTTAAATAAAACAGTAATTACTATTTTCCTTAGATTAAAATGTTTCCATTAGTCATTATATTTATTTCAAATGAAAAATAGTATGAAAATATCTGTCAGTGAAATGCCATTGGTTAGAAAATGGGTTTTAATTTGGGATTCATGGTTCAACGAAAATAGCAACAAGATCTAAGAAAAATTTCTAGCCTTTCCAAAAGTCCGATGCAAATACATTGATTGCAATAAGGCTACACCAGCAACAGAAAAGCCTGGTGTTCTGGCTTTGGCAGGAAATGTTATTGTCTTTACGTGGTAACGTTGTCTGTCCCCGTATTTGGCACACAGGAGTTGTTTCATATTATTGAGTGACAGGGTCAGAACACTTGATTTAGTCATGTTAATACTGAGTGATTTATAGAAAGGGAAGATAGTTTTTTAGACAGAATGATTTCAGAACAAGAGGACAAATGTAATAAAAATAAAACCGGTGGTGAAAAAATTGGGAACCCTAATATTGGTAATACAAAATTTAGTTGCTTTGAATAATTACCATTTGTTTCTTGACTCTAAAACTGAATTAATTTCTTTTGGCAGGGTATTTTAAGTCTTGAATATTGTGTGGGGATTATTGGTGGCAAACCAAAACAGTCATATTACTTTGCTGGATTTCAAGGTTAGTGATTTAGTAAAGTATATTTCCTCCTTGTTTTCTTTTGAAAGTCAGTAAGTTAATATCAGACCCTCTGGAAGCAGGATGATTAACAGTGCAAAATGAGTACCTTATAAATTCATCAGTCCTACCATAGCCACTCATTTGTCATTTGGTCCACAACATAATTGGATTCTGCAAAATGTATGTTTAATTTCTGTTATTGCATAAACAAGGCATAATTTATTGGTTTCACTAAACTTCAGAAGACATTGCTTTCACATTCTGGCAGTTGCTATTTACATATTTACTTTTTACCAGGGTTAGTGGTGCTAGTTGATGATAAAATGACAAGCAATATGTTCTTCCTGTCAGGATAAAGTAGTGTGATACATTTTTCATGTGCAAACTGTAGAATATAATTGTGTGTTTGTGAAAGTAATTTTATCACCAAAAATTAAATGACAATCTCATCACTTTATAAAAATTCTGCTTATACAAGCATATTTGATTATGCAAAAGTTAATCTGTCCTGTGCAAACCTATGTTTCAGTCAATGAATATCAGTCTGGCAAGCTGTTACTCCCAGGTTTTTTTCAGCTATTCTACATAGAAATTGGATTGTAAGCAGTGTAATAATAAGGTGTTTTTTGAATTACTTGTCTTCTGTTTTGTCCTTGTAGATGACAGTTTGATTTACATGGATCCTCATTACTGCCAGTCTTTTGTAGATGTCAGCATAAAGGATTTCCCTCTTGAGGTACTGTGGATTAAGAGTAGTTTTCTTACTATATGAAGAAAACTCTAATTATTTAGAGATGTACTAGGCAGCTAAGCTTTTATGGTATTACAATTACAGCTTAATAATACATATTTTACTGATTTATAAAATCATAACCCACACTATAGTCAAAGGTTAAATAATTTCTTACTGAATTTTAATTTAAGATATACCTTTGTTTCCATTTATCTTGTCTCTAACTTGTTAGACACCCTAGCCCTGCCACAATAATTGAGCAAGCCTCCAAGTAACTCTGCAAATATATAGCAGAACAGTACTGAAGCATAAAAATGTTAAGCATGTTTAAAACAAAGAAAGAAAGAAAAAGGGGAAAAAAGGAAAAGAAGATGATGGAGTAGGGTGAGAATGACAAGGTGACTTAAGGAGACTATCTGATAAATTATTATTATTTTAAAAAATATATTTTATTGATTTTTTTTACAGAGAGGAAGGGAGAGGGATAGAAAGCTAGAAACATAGATGAGAGAGAAACATCGATCAGCTGGCTCCTGCACACCCTCTTCCGGGGATGTACCTGCAACCAATGTACATGCCCTTGACCGGAATTGAACCTGGGATCCCTTAGTCCGTAGACTGACGCTCTATTTACTGAGCCAAACCAGTTTCGGCTTGATAAATTATTTTGCTGAAGTCTAATAATTAAATCTTAGCCTCTAGTTTTCAAGAGCTTAGTTGGGTTTCTAATTTTTGTTTTAGATTTGATTTCGCAAGAACTTTTTTTTCTTTATGCCAGTTCTTTTGAGATCCAGCACTTGAATTCAGAAAATCTGAGAGTGCATAAGTGAGACATGTAATTAGTATATTGTTTTGGATAATTTTTCCCCAGTTGATGCTTTTATAAACTTTTAAAATAATTTTAATCGTTTGAGTGGCATGGATCACTAATTCCAAGGCTCCACAAGTTACAAATGTGATTTAGTACTTTGTTTAGTACTTTGTTTAGTACTTCTTAGCTAATGATAATACCTAAAAATATTTAAGGAGAAGATTATGAAAACTGATCAACTGCAAGATTAAAATTGCAAGACCTTTAACTTTCAGTGATCAGAAAGACACATTATAAAACATTCTAGCTAGAATGTACCTCAACTGAAGTACAAGCTTCTTGAAGCCAGGTTTGCTTTCTGCTTTCTTCCTTCATAGTATCTTGTATGCAAACCTTAATATTCCTCATCGACGAATTGATACTGGGTGAGGCACTAGAGGATTGTGCTATGTGTAGCACATTGTAATTCCTTCTGCTGCATTGTCGTCTTGTGATACCGAGGGGATGCTTAATTGTGGGTTCCCATGGTCAATGGTTAGTTCAGGGAAGAGTTTGAACTGTTGGGATGAGTGTGTGTGTGTGTGTGTGTGTGTGTGTGTGTGTGTGTGTGTATGTGTGTATGTGTGTGTGTGTATTTAATAAGTTAAGATTTCCTAAACCAGAGACTATAGCTTCATGTTATACTTTTGGAATGATCAGTTCTAACTCTTATAAATACCAAACTCCTATTCTATTATTAAGAGAATATTTTATTCTCTTAATATTAATGTTTTATTAATAAGGTAAGAAAAACCATATTAGTACACATGTTAGTCTGTTTTAATTTCTGGGCCCTCAATTTCAAGTTTCAGGCTTTAGGTTCATACAGTGGTGACTCGTTTAATCTATCCTAGTAATTCAGAGAATACTGGTATTGAGGCTATTAGAATGATGTGATATGATTAGATAGGTGGATGATTGAATTAATCACTCATGTACCCTTTATGAATTACAGTTGTGAACTGCAGCTGATTGGAGGTGCTTTTTAGTAAGTGTATTCTCTAGTTAACTAAAGAAGCTTCATATACATCACCAAAGTACCATATTTATACCTAAAAGCATTTATTTGTATGTTTAGGTAATGTAATCCACTATTCCAAATCATAAGCCTAGAATAGTGCCTGACATTTGGTAGATGGCTAATAACTATTAGTTGAAACAATGAATAAATAATATATTAAAAAAATTAATAAACGAGAATTGACTCACCCTGGCCAGTTTTTTTTCAGAAACATTTTTCATTGCCACAGAATTGTATCAGGTGAACACTCCCTAAAATGTGTGTGTTACTCTTACTAATAGTCAGAATTTTAAAAATTAAAGAATAAGTGTATAGTTCAAAGAATTATGATAAAATAAACATAGCCTTGCAATACGACCTGGGAAAATATTTTAAAATCTACCTTGTTCTGCAATAAACAAATGATTCTTAATTATAAATTAATGGTGGTTTGACTTCAGGATCCTCTTGGGTGAACAAAAGAATATAATTTTACATTTAAGTGATGTAAAATGCCTCACTGTAATATGAGTCCTTGTATATATATATATATATATATCTATATATATATATAGTAACACCCTATAGCAGTTTCAGTGATCAGAGATTTATGTCAGAGTTTTGTGGATAATTAGTTTTTTGACAGATGTCAAAACAGCCATGAATAACATTTTAGTGTTATTACCTATGATGATTGAAGCAATATTGTGAAATAGCACTAAGTCTATTCTGGTTTAGTCTTATTGATTCTTACATAAAAACTTTAATTGTCCTAGCCATTTTGGCTCAATGATAGAATGTTGGCCTGTGGACAGGGTCTTGGGTTCGATTTCAGTCAAGGACACATATCTTGGTTGTAGGCTCTTTCCCAGCCAAGGCCCGGGTTAGGGCTTGTGCAGAAGGTAACCAATAGATGTGTTTCTCTCATTTCGAAGTTTTTCTTCTCTCTTTTCTTCTCTCTTCCACGCTCCCTAAAAATCAATGGAAAAATATCCTTGGGTGAAGATTAACAAAAATAAACAACAAAAAAACTTTAATCAAAGTGTTAATATAATGTAGGACACTGTTGTATATGAGTTAAAAAATATTTTTTGGGAGCTTTGGACAAACTTTGGTCCTTCTTTATTCCCAAGTAGCAACAAACAAACAAACTTTGATTATTATTGTTGGCAGGAGTTGGGCATATGATTATTTTTAGATACCTTGTTGTAGAATAACTTTTTATAAATATGACCTAGAACTTTCTTGCCTTACACTGGTATATCAATATACTCCTGTATATTGTTAACTAACAAGCTCTTTCTTAGCTCTTCTGTGCCTATCCAGATCTGTTTTTAATGTCTCCTTATAAATAAAACACATGAAACCACATCAGAAGAAGTCCAACTAAGACAATATTTTTGTTGATAGTACCTTGGTGTGGGAGGGGGGGGCGGGTTCCAGTTTAGCTAGATTGGTTCTCACTATACAGTTAAGTGTTAGCTAAGCATTGTGTAAAAGGCATAGTTTGGTCTGTATTTACTGCCATGATGTTCTGTTTGAATCTTATATAAGATTGAACTATTCATAAGGGGAAAGTAGATGCAATTCATAAGCTTGAGTAGATGCAAATGAATGGGGAAAGACTAGAGGGACTTTGATCAATTTACCAGGAACATAACATATATGAAATCCTGTATTACCCCACATTTTGGGAGATGGTTTCAAGGTAAAATCCTTTAGTTTTAGGTATTAAATATAGGGAAATTTTAATTTTATGAGTTCAAATTCAGCATAGATTGTTTCTTAATTGAGCTTATCCTTTAAATAAAAAATATAAAATATACAACAAAGAATTCCCACCTCTGTCTCCCATCATCCTCTCATTTAACATGGTAATATTTGTGTGTCTTAACAATTTATGCACATACAAATAGCTATGAATATATATTTTATGGCCTTCCTTTTGTCCAGAAACATCTTTTTAAATATATACAACAACTAAAAGGAATTGGTAGCATCAGTGATTTTTAAGAGCAAGAGCATTTAAGCAGTTATTAAAAAAAAAAAAAAAAATCTTAAACCAAGTACCAGAATGTGGTGGTGAAGAAAAATATTGGAATGATTAGCTTTATTTTCTATCCCTTTCCTACTTTTGTATTCTCTACTAATAACCGCATCCCGTATCCCGTTAGCAAGGGTAAAGAGGCTAGAGCAGTCTCCCCAGCCCATTGACATCTGTGATGTAGTGACTGCTCAGAAAATGAATTAAAGGCACAGGAGGACTGGTAAGAAGGAGGCAAGGGCCATAGTAGAACAATTTTCACCTGTGCCTTTTAAGGGATAAACAAGAACTTAAGTCAAGTAGAAGAGTGGGTTGGAAGAATAGGCAATTATGTACTAACTAGAGTCCTGATGCATGAAGATTCCTGCAAGAATGGGCCTTCCTTCCTCTGGCTGCCGGCACCGCCTTTGCTTTGGCTGGAGCCCCCTTTCCACCTTCCCATGCTGTCCAGAGGCCCCAAGTGGCTGGGGGTGGTGTGGAACGCCTCACCCCCAGCCACTCAGGGCCTGTGTATACAAATTAACCCCCACATTTTTGTTGGGTTGATTTGCATACTCACTCCTGATTGGCTGGTGGGTATTGCAAATGTATGGTCAATTAGCATGTTTCTCTTTTATGTAGATTGTGTCAATTGCTAAGACTCTTAAATTGACTTCTTTCATATCACTGTGGAACATTTTAAAAAAATTAAATTTATTGAGGTGACATTGGTTAATAAGATTATATAGGTTTCAAATGTAGAATACTAGGATACATCATGTGTATATTGCATTGTGTGCCCACCACAATGGAACATTCATGAATCTATGTATTTGTTGAAAAAGTTTTGATATCCTTATTCAAAGATTTATAAACATTAAAAAACTAACAAAACAGACTTAATTGCACTTCAGTAGAAATTTTTATTTTGAATATTTGAAAAAGTGAATTGCTTTACCAAATGGCCAACTTTATTCTAAACCTTGTATTAGCTTATATAATTTTCAGTGGCACATTTTTCTTTCCTTTCTCAATTGTTAGATCACTTTGATACACTTTCTTTTGCAGAATGGCACTAATGCCACATAAGGTGGAGATTTGGTGAATTGAATATACACAGTGTTGGCTCGTATTTTACAACTTTGGAGAGTAGAAAGGATTCTTTGCATTGGGTAGACTAAAACACCATTTGAGAAGCATATTTCAGTTTTGAGAAAAGCCAGATAACAAATTTTAAATTAGTAATATTCTTATATGTTTTCTTATATGTAATATTCTTATATGATACGTAAGTCCATCAGTAAAAGTAAATTAATCCTAAAGAATTTTTAAAATTACAGACATTCCATTGCCCTTCTCCCAAAAAGATGTCATTTCGAAAGATGGATCCTAGCTGTACAATAGGATTCTACTGTCGAAACGTTCAGGACTTCAAACGAGCTTCTGAAGAAATCACTAAGGTACTTTTATTTAAAATATTATTATAATATTTGTAAATGACCTAATTTTTATTTGAGCTATCCCATGAAAAGACAAAAATCTGTAAATTATTACACTTTTGTAAAATTGTCTCTCAAATATTAATGTTATTAGGAATATTGAACTAAAACTTTGGGGATTCCTAGCCTTTGATACTGGCGAAATCAACTAGTGAACAGTAGAAAGTATTGATTGCTCCACTAGGTGGCACTGTTGAAGTAAAAATCCCTTTGCAAATGGATTAGGTTATCTGTGCAAGCAATTAGGTTATATTTTATTTGAAGAGGATTTTAAAAGGGCAATACCTTAGGGGTTAGAAAAAAATTAATGAAGTATTTGATCAAGCCAAATTGTGCATTATTTCTTGTTAGTCCAAGTGCTTCTTTGGTTTTTTTAAAAAGAGAAATGGTATTTTTGGATTTCTCCGAACTGCTTTATCAAATGAGCTGTGTTGTTACCTTCCAATAAGCTTGTCTAATCTGGTCTATTCGACTTATAGGATCTGTGCAATAGGTTTACTTAACTCCTCATTATCTTTAAACTTCTGCATTTTTCTGGTCCTTGAGTACAGTACTGCTAAACATTTATAGAGCCTCATGGATTGTCTATATTTAGTACTTTGGGAAATACAAAAGCTTACTTATTGGGGAAATAGGCATAACCGGTTATTACTGTCAGTAGCTATAGCTTATCAGTTTATGGGTAGGTAATACTCGAATCACTTTTGGTAATTCTTAACTTGAGTTCAGATAGAGTAAAACCTTATTACTACTTGACTTACAGTTAATTTTTTTTTTTTTTTTTTTAGGAAAATAGACATAGTGGATTGAAATTTTATTTTTATCCTGTAAAAATAAAGTGAAAACATTAAATAAAAGGTTTCAAATAAGTTAGGTTTACTTTACTTGACCTGCCATGTAAAAGGAAAATTAACAAAACCATGACAGAAAAATGAATGAGGAGAGAAAATGAGATATGTGAGAACCTCTTCCTAATCTTCATTTCTCATAGTTGTCACCTTTTTACTCTCCATTTTCAACCTAGAAGGCCAAGTGAACTTAACAAAATATGATTTACATTTCCCCCTCTTTTATTACTTGAAATTAGAAATATTTGTGTATTTTAATTTGACAATTCTCTATCTTTATGAAGTATTGTATATGTTCAAAAATATACAAATTCAGATGATATTATAATACAAGTCAATACTAATGAACATACTCTATTAGAAAGTCCCATTTCTCTTAATTATTTTCTACCCAGGTATAACAAGTCAGTTTAGAATAAGAAAGCAAAGTGAACCAAATTATTATTACTAAGTTGAAAAACAAGATTCACAAATGTTGATATTTCCTCATTAAGAACAGATGTTCTTTTTGGTTTTATACTGATAGTTATTAGGATTTTTACATTAGAAAAATACTTAGAAATCACTTCTCTTAAAGCATTAGAGTAATATACAATGTTGAGGCAAAAAAAACCCAAAAACCCACACATATTGAAATATCATTCGGAAGTACTGAGAATTTTGCTAGTCTTTTAACTTTGCTTTAATAGTAGTATTATTCTTAAGTTAATAGCATTTTATAACAGTATCAAAACTCACTTTGTCAATTAGTAATTTGATTATTTACTTTTTATTGGAAGGTTATAAGTTAACTAGTTTCCCTTTTCTTCCTAAAAATTGATTTTGGCATTTTTAGTAAAAAAGCTATTTTTTTTTTCTCTTTAAAAATAAAAACAACTTAAAATTATTTTTTCTAGATAGGATATATTTTGAGTCTAAACTATAATGTTGAATTTGTTATGCTATATAAGTGAAGATTTTTAAAGTCTTAACTACATGATTTTAAAAAATGTTATAAAAATTACTAAATTAATTCTATGTTTAGAGAGTTCAGTTCAGCAAGTATCTGGGTAACAGTTACATTGAAAGCATAAAATGACCAAGACATAATCCCTGCTTTTGAGCAAGTATAAGGCCTCTACCCTAAAGTACCATTTGCAATTCAGGAGAGGGGATAGACGTATGTTACACTGAATATTGTAAGCGTCCATACAGAAATAGAAATAAGTAGACAGTGAAGAAAAGGTGTTGAATAGAGAGGGATGTCTCATTCAACTCGAAGTTCTTTATTGTGATGGTGATATTTAATTTGGAACTTGAAAGTTTAGACTTAATTTCTGTTGGCTTAGGGAGAAGGAAGGGTTGATATAAATGTGAAACATTGGAAATTCCTATAGACTACTTGGTCTGATCACTTAGGAGAACAATTGACAATTCTAGCAAACTTAAAAATATGTATACCGTTAGACACAGCAATGCATGTTGTATACCTATATAATCCTAACCAAAGTGTTCCTATTTTTCTTTAGGGGTATTTGTTTCAAGCAGAGGAAATAAAAAGAGGAAAGGTATTAGAAAAGGAAAGTATAGAGCTTGTCAAGGGAATGGCAAATAGTCTAGTTGGTAGTGCCAAAGATACCTGTAGGGCAGGACTGTCTTCTGGCTGCCTGAATCTGTATGGGTGTGGCCTGGGAGATTTCTCCATTTCTAACAAGCCTCCCACATAATCTTGTACATCAAATCCAAGGGCTACTGGTATAAGACAGTGCAACCCCACGTGTGATACTCAATTATTTTAGGTGGCCCTGGAACACATATTTTATTTATTTATTTATTTATTTATTTATTTATTTAAATATATTTTATTGATTTTTTTTTGCCCCCCTCCCTCCCTCTCATACATCCCCTCCCTCCCCAGAGTTTTATGTCCATTGGTTGTACTTATATGCATGTATAAAAGTCCTTCGGTTGATCTATTATCTCCCCCAGATCTTCCTCCCCTCCCCGCTGTAATTTGACAGTCTGCTTGTTGATATACTGTCTCTATATCTATCTTTTGTGGAACACATATTTTAATACTAGGATAAATATTTTAATACTTATATATTCATTTATATTCATATTAGAAAAATATAACCAGAATATCAAACATGCGATTTCCTATTATTGATTTTAGAAGGCTATTTAAGTTTGAAATGGTGGAAAGAGAAATCTTAATTATAATAGAGATGGGATACACGGCAAAAATAAAGGTATACAAATGTCCAAGTCTGTATTCGGCAGTTTGTTGATTTTATTAATTTCAACCATACAGAGATAAAGAGAATAACATAATAATACCCTATTATAATGTGCTACCACTGAGCTTAAGAAAAAAAAAAATTACATGTATTATCCATCCCCAGTCTTATTCTTGGCCTTTCTTCACAGTAGTAACAGCTATCCTAAATTTTACATAATACTTGAACCTTATGTAACCATTGACAACATAAATTATTTGAGATATTGTGAAACTTTTTACTAATGATATCCTATATAATAAAAGGCTAATATGCAAATTGACCAAATGGCAGAATGGCTGATCACTATGACCTACACTGACCATCAGTGCACTCCCGCAGGGGGAGCACCACTCCGCCAGAAGTCAGGATCACAGCTGGTGAGTGCAGCGGTGGTTGCAGTGCTAAAGATGTCCGCCTAAGCCATCAGTCGGACATCCTCTGGGGGCTCCTGGACTGCACGAGGGTGCAGGCCTCACCTGTGCAGGCAACCTCCTCCTATCTGGTCATGACCCGTTATGAAGTCCCAGCCTAATTTGCATATCACCTCTTTATAATATAGATGTATATACCCCTCTGCAACTAAGGTTTTCATGTAATAGTGACCTAGAAGTTATTTCTATACATGTTGGTCTAGCTTATTCATTTAAACTGTTGCATAGTGAGTAGTACATTCTATAATATACTATTTTTAATTTAAAATTTCCTTCATTGATGGTAATTCACTGATTTTCTAATGACTAATCCTATATAATAAAAGGCTAGTATACAAATTGACCAAATGGTGGAATGATCCGGGGGCAGACGCTCAGTGCAGGAGCTTCCTTTCCCCTCTGCTCCTTGTGCTCCCACCGGGGGAATGCCACTCATCCAGAAGCCCTGAGCCGGGCTCACGCCTGGCGAGTGCAGCGGCGGTGGTGGGCGTGAGCCTCTCCCACCTCCACGGCTGCACTAAGGATGTCTGACTACCGGCACAGGGAGTGGGCCCAAGCCGTCAGTTGGACATCACCTGAGGGCTCCCAGACTGCAAGAGGGCACAGGCTGAGTTGAGGGACCCCCACAAGTGCATGAATTTTTGTGCACCGGGCCTCTAGTAATGAATATAAGAATATTTAAAATGACCCTAAGTTCTTATCTAAATGGAGTCACCCCTTCAGCCCCATGACCTCTCTGATCTCACCCCTTAGCACTCTTCCCCAGCTTATTCAAGGCCAATCACATAATTTCCTCCTGGAAAATGCTAGGTGCCTTCTGTTTCAAGGATTCTCTTTGTTTCCTGGGCCTGCAGGCTCTTCCTGCAGGTATTCCCTGATTCCTTCTCCTTTTCTTCTTTCAGGTCTTTACTCAAGTGTCATCTTCTTAGGCCTTCTCTGTCCACCCTTATTTCACTTGTTGTTATCCCCTCCCCGTTTTCTTTTTCTTTTTAGGGTGTTTGTTTGTTTGTTTATTTATTTATTTATTAATATATTTTATTGATTTTTTACAGAGAGGAAGGGAGAGAGATAGAGAGCTAGAAACATCGATGAGAGAGAAACATTGACCAGCAGCCTCCTGCACACCCCCTATCGGGGATATGCCCACAACCAATGTACATGCCCTTGACTGGAATCGAACCTGGGACCTTTCAGTATCCAAGCGGACGCTCTATCCATTGAGCCAAACTGGTTTCGGCTAGGGTATTTAAGTACATGCACACACACACACATATTTATTCTGCTGTATCATATATAAACACATTGTGTTTATTTAACTTACTTATCACCTGTGTATTCCACTGGAATGTAATCTTGACAAGGGCAGAAATACTTGTTGGTTTTGTTTATTTTTGTGTCTCCAGTGATTAAAGCTGCCTGTC